AATTTCTTGTTGCAACAATCGATGTATGGATTGACTCAGATTATCACTGAACCTACAAGGATCACATCTACTTCCAGCACTCTGATTGATATATTGTTTGTTACTAATATTAATAGTGTTTGGAAATCTGGTGTTTTAGACCCTATTTGTAGTGACCATTGTCCAGTATATGTCATTATTAAAGAGAATATTCCCAATTCAAGTAACTATAAAAGGAAAATCTATAACTATGATCAAGCTGATAGAGATGGGATTGTAAATGATTTAGTTTATATTAAATGGGATTATTTCAAAACTGATGATGTTGATAATATGGCTAAATCTTTCACTTGCTCTGTTATGGATATATGTAATAAACGAATTCCAAACAAAACTGTAACAATAAGACCTGATGATCCACCTTGGATTAATTATGAAATACGCAAACTTATAAGAAAACGCAATCGCATTCAACTTTAGGCATATTAGGAACAGGGTCGTTTCAATTGTTCGTATTGCTAAAAAGGAATATGTAGCCAAAATTGAAAATAGAATTAATAATGCATACGGAGAAAAGATTTGGTGGCGTTTAGTAATTTTTTTTCTTAAGAACATGTACAGAAACAATGTCAACAGATTCCCTCCGACAAAGTATCAAGACGAGATATATGATGAAAATGAAGACATTGCGAGTGTGCTTAACAAATATTTTACGGACCAAGCTATCGTTGAAAAACCAAACCTTACACCACCTAAACTTGCTCAGAAAACTGATGAATCACAATATTTTTCAGATTTAGCCAAACCCTACCATTCCGAAGGATTTGATGATGTATTTAAAGAAGATATAACTAGTAAGGTACAGATATTTAAACAAGTACGAGAGAGGCCTGATGAGGAATTGGAAAAAGAATTTACATGTCAAGAGATAAGAGAGGCCGTCAAATCCCCCAGCAGGAATACATCCCCAGGTCCGGATAAGATTACAAATGATCATATTATCTATGCAGGAGAACATCTTATTTATTGCTTACGTATACTTTTTAATCATATGATGAAACTACAATATGTACCCTATGATTATAGACTTGGTATGGTCATACCAATATATGAGGGGAAGAATGAAAAATCTGACCCTCGAAATTATAGAGGTATTACTCTCACATCATGTCTCTGTAAACTCTTTGAAAAAATACTGCTCAAACGTATAGAGGAGAAACTATGTAGACTTAACCCAGACTTTCCTGATATGCTACAGTTTGGTTTAAGAAAAGAACATGGAGCTATTATGTCAGTATTTACTTTGATCGAAGGCATTCAGTATTACATACAAAGGGACTCTGCAGTCTATGCAGCTTTCTTAGATAATGAAAAGCATTCGATAGGATATGGCACGATGGATTATTTTACAAACTACATAAACTTGGCATTAGAGGTAATACATGGAAATTACTACATCATTGTTATACAAATAGTTATGCTTATATTTCCTACCAAGGTGAACAATCAGACAGATATATGGTTCAACAAGGTGTTGGCCAACGCAGAGTAATCTCTGCTTGGTTTTTTCTTGGTTTTATAAATGACCCCATTACAGCCCTTAGACAAGCACAATGTGGCATTCGTGCATATGGTATGGATATCCCTGCAGTCTTGCTTGCCGACGATACTACACTTATTAGCGCATCACCTAGAGGATTACAAACATCCCTTGATATTGTACATACATATGCCTCAAGGTGGCGCCTAACATATAATCCATCAAAAAGTGCAATAATTGTGTTCACCAAAGCAAAACGCAAAGGGTATAACTGTCATTGTAAACTTGGTAATATACATGTACACATAACTACAACTGACTCTACGGTGTATGGTGGAATACTTCTAACATACAATCTGTCCTGTAAAACAAGAATTGAAAAGTACTGTCAGAAAGCAAGACAAAATATTAACTCCCTGAGATCTTTAGGATTAATAGTTATGATCTTCATCCAATTTCAAGCGCGAAAATATGGCTCAGAATGATACTCAAAACCAGCCTTTATGGGTGTGAATTACTCTATGACATCAAGGGTCAACATGTCGCTCTGTTGGAAGGCATGCAAAGATATTTTGCACGCATTGTACAGGGTCTTGATAAAAGATCTCCTTCAGAATCTACTATTTTGAACCTTGGACTTTGGACAATTACTGCATATATTGATAAATGCAAACTTTTATTACTTGGTCGTTTATGCAATCTGAACTGTAATAACTTTGCAAAAGATATTTTTTGCGCGTCCATTGCAAGCCCTGTCAATTCAAAGACAATCTGTGGAGAACTTAAATCAACACTTGATAAATACAATCTGGGTCCCTACCTTCGTACATATACTCAGTACGGTACTTTCCCTCCAAAATTGAAATGGAGAAATCGTGTTAACGAAACTATATGCAAATACGAAGAACAATCATGGCTCACAAATGTATCAAATAACGCAAGCATGTCCCGTTATAAGAGAATTCATACGAAATTAACATACCATGTACTTAGCCATTAGCTTTTCTGTACCCGGAATATCGACCTGCTTTACAACTCTGTGTGGAAGTCTCATCACGTAGTAAACTTTCGAAAGAGTGCATGCTCTGTAATAGGCATGCTTTCGACTATGACAGCCACGTTATTTTACATTGTGAAGCGCTGATATCAGAAAGAAATGCGTTTTTCTCTTCTCTCATTGACGTACTTGACGTTCAAAAATATGTTGATTTTGAAATGCAAGATGAAACAGATATGTTTTCAGTCTTATTTGGGGCTGAAACAAAATTTACTCACAATCTGGATCAACACACCTGGGAAACTATTATACTTCAATTCTCCTCGTATCTGTACAAACTAAGGCATCTTTTGATATATATCTTCTAGTGAAAATCTGTCATCATTTAGGTATCTGAATTTGATAAACTGTGTGTAATTGTAAATATGTTATGCCTTTTTTTATTGTGTTAACTGCGTGTAATTGAATATATTTTCATTGTAATCTTCGGAATGACATCTGGAGGAAATAAAGAATCTCTCTCTCCATATATTATACTAACATTTGCATAAAGCTGTTATGCCGTAGATTTTCTTTTTATTATTTAGTCACTGCACAACCAGATTGGTCAACTTCGTGGATTGAAATAAGCTGAAGAAATATCAGTCCAAATTACATTATGGAAGTTTGTATATTAAGGATGATAAAACTGATTTACTTACATTGGTAGTATTCCCTCTACAATCCACGTGGTATAATCCAATCTGATTGTGTTAAGATGACAATCTAGGCAAAAGTTTTATCCCGGCTGGTATTGCCAATTTCTTGAAAAAAGCATGCACCTGTTGCAACAATCGATGTATGGATTGACTCAGATTATCACTGAACCTACAAGGATCACATCTATTTCCATCACTCTGATTGTTTTATTGTTTGTTACTAATATTAATAGTTTTTGGAAATCTGGTGTTTTAGACCCTATTTGTAGTGACCATTGTCCAGTATATGTCATTATTAAAGAGAATATTCCCAATTCAAGTAACTATAAAAGGAAAATCTATAACTATGATCAAGCTGATAGAGATGGGATTGTAAATGTTTTAGTTTATATTAAATGGGATTATTTCAAAACTGATGATGTTGATAATATGGCTAAATCTTTCACTTGCTCTGTTATGGATATATGTAATAAACGAATTCCGCTAAAAAACGTAATGTAGCTATCGACTGGGCTAACTTTAGGCATATTAGGAATAGGGTCGTTTCAACTGTTCGTATTGCTAAAAAGGAATATGTAGCCAAAATTGAAAATAGAATTAATAATGCATACGGAGAAAAGATTTGGTGGCGTTTGGTAATTTTTTTTCTTAAGAACAGAAACAATGTCAACAGATTCCCTCCGACAAAGTATCAAAACGAGATATATGATGAAAATGAAGACATTGCGAGTGTGCTTAACAAATATTTTACGGACCAAGCTATCGTTGAAAAACCAAACCTTACACCACCTAAACTTGCTAAGAAAACTGATGAATCACTTTCGTCTATTATTCTTTCCAAAAAAAGAAGCTTTGGATATTTTACTCTCGATAGATGCGAATAAAGCAACAGGGCAAGACGGAATAGGAAATAAACTTCTAAAATTGTCCGCAACAGCATTATTTAATACATCGTTAGATAAGTCAGTTTGTCCATGTATCAGTGGTACCTATTTATAAGAAGGGCAATGTAAATGAGTGTTCAAATTATAGGCCGGTAGCTCTTACATGCTACCTGTCTAAAGTTTTTGAAAAGTGTGTCTTTAAATATGTATTTAATTACTTGAGAGATAATGATTGACGAACAAATCTACAATCAGGTTTTATGCCAGGAGATTCAACTACCAACCAGCTTACTTACTTGTATGATTTTATTGCTAACGAACTAGTTAAAGGTAAAGAAGTTAGAGCGTTTTTTTGTGATATCAGCAAGGCTTGACAAGGTATGGCATAAAGGTATTTTATGTAAACTCAGTTCATTTGGTATTGGCGGGAAACTTTTACAATGGTTCCAAAGTTACTTAGAAAATAGATCCCAAAAAGTAGTTATAAATGGTTATAGTTCAGACTTAAGACCTGTTATGGCTGGTGTCCCTCAGGGGTCAGTATTAGGACCACTTTTATTTATTATTTATATAAATGATATTGCCGATGAAATTGGAAGTAATATTAGACTGTTTGCAGATAATACTTCTTTATATGTAGTTGTAGACGATCCCGATACAGCAGCTAATTAATTTTATTATACATGTATAAAATAAAATTCATTTATAGCTTTGCAGCAAACATAGCTATTTGCTGTTCCATCATTCAGTATCAAGTCTGCGGTCAAAGGGAGGTAATTATGAAAGTTGTGCAATCGCAATTCTGCGAGCATGCCAGTTTTCATAGTTTCGGCCTTTCCGAACCAACAGCCGATCAAGCAACACGTTTCAAATTGAGAGAGAACTATTTAGAAGATTCCAGCATGCCGCGCAATACTAAAAGGGGTGGTAGTCCAGTAACAGTTCGTTCCAAGACTATGAAGACTAGGGGAGCGGGTAGGAAGAGGCGACGTGTGGAGGAACGGGAAGACCTAACGGCAAAACACAGCAAACAGTCTGAGGACATTAGGCCTATCGTCGGGCCGTCAGACAGCATGGCGCCAACGGCGGGAAACCCCAGCGGGGCTCCTGGACCAAGTACGTCTGACAGTGGGACCATTAGACACGGTGAGCACATTCCTACAATTGACTTGTTTCATAGTAATGTAGACATGGTAGGCATAAACACTACAGCACACGTCACACAGGGTAAAAGACCTAATATATCTGCACCCACTATGCATTCTCAGATTCTGGTTACACCCGCTTCTGAATTAGGTCAACCTGTCGGCAGTATTCAACCATTGGGGAGTATTCAGCCTATCACACATGATGGGGTAGAACCCATTACACTGGCACAAGACACGCTAGGAATAACCGTACAGCAGTGTGTCAAAGATTTGGAGGCATGAATTTGTTGAATTGTGCATTTTACTGAAGGGATCTGCTACAAATGAGGATACAGCTGGACCCACACCTCTAGGAATTAATGATCAAGGAGCCATTCAGGTTATCAAACGAGGATTACAGAGTATTGATTCAATCTCAGCCTGGACAGATGCTTTTCTAGTTTTTGCAAGCATATATCTGGAGAAGTTTTTCACAAAATACCAGCAGTTGCTCAAGTACATCAGCATAATTCGTATGGCAGCCTGCTGAATTATTTTCACACTTCTTACCCCTGCCTGCTGGATTAATTTTAGCATAAGGCGCTCTAAAGAGGGTGGGTGATTTCAAACAGTCGCTGCCTCATTAAACAAGGGCCAATTGAAGAAATATTTTGCACATTTATTCCTGATAGAAAACTATACAAATTCTATATAAAAATATCCTGATGTTTTCAATAATACCAAGGTTAAGACCAAAGCGAACACAAAATTTGTAAATTTTCTTGAACTTACCTTAATTGCGTTATTGAAGGTGGTTTGCATTTCATGCTAGGAACCTTTTAATATCGTAACATTTGTGCAAATTGATTTCAATAATCATATCTCCCATATCTTAATTTTAATTGAGTAAGAATTCGGGTTTTATAATCGGCATATATCAGCGCGATGGTAAATTATGAACCATTTCAGTGAATTTATTATCTAAACGTTAAACAGAAAACTAACTTAATTTTCGAGGTGATCATGTCGGTTGCAGAAATACGAATATTCGGGTTAATCTGACGTGTCATGTTATAAAATTTGCAGGAAACAATTAATGACTTATAAATATTCACTTATCCTAATTTCAAGCGTTTTGGTTGAATATTTACGATATACAAAAATAAACAACCCGTGTCATGATGCAAGCAGACGTCCTAAAATCAAACATGGCGCGCTTCGCCCGACCTCCGCATAACTTATTGCTATTTTAATATCAACAAAGTTTACATTGCCTTTATAAATATAACTTGGCGAAAGTTGACGATCTTCTCAATCGAAGAATGTTTTATTCGTCATATTCTAATAAATATGACGAGAGAGAAATGAAAATAAAGATCGTGAATTCTGACTGCACTATTTCAATAAGTGCAAAGGTCACCGGATGTGATGTCACAGACAGGGGTAGTCTGCTGATAAGCTTTCGAAACAAAACAATTACAGTAAATTTTGAAATAGTTCGCCTATCACATGGAGCAAAAATATAAGTCGATACACAGTATCAGTAATCACCACTAACATGAAATAAAAATGTTACTTTGACGATATAATTCGCGTATTAGTTAATCCGTTTGACCTTGCATGCTCCCGTGACCCGGAAACGGTAGACGATAAATCAGCATGCCACATGCAAGTTTCTCGGTATCTTTTATTTGAACTTCTGTTGATATTTAAGAATCACCATTCAATGTTGTGAATATAAATGGGACATGATTCATATTTCTGCGATGTACACGCTGATAAGTTTCACTACAACAAGTGTATCCCACGTAATACGTCTATGGATATCGTCGATCAGCAAGATCACCCTCAACAACAGGTGCGCGAAAATGGGCTTGACAAAACGTGTTTCAAAATAACATCCCCGCGTTGCTGAATATGATAGGGTATATATAAGCAATAAAATGCTACGTACATATTTTCGGTGTTAGTTCCACATTACATTTAGGATAGTTTTCCTTTCGGGAATACTTTCATAGATTCTAGCATGATTCTAGAACAGTTACACGAAGGATTTCTAAATTTATTCCAAAAATATGAAGACCACCATGATTGCGTATTGATGATAGATTTGTAATTGTTTAATTATTTACAGCTGTTTACAGGTTTTAAAATTTTAAGTTATATTTAATAGTTATTTTTCCCACAATGATGGTGTGTGGAGACAGTAAATATTAGTCTTTGCATCAGCACAGTGTAACTGATCAAACTTCAATTATTATCTTTAGTTTAAACATATTTATTTAACAATTATTATCTTGCACTCTGAAAATCAACTATGTGAATAAGTAACCCTCTGATGTCATCATTTTAATTTTAGTATTCCATGAATAATGAATAAATCAGATCCTTTACATATACATACTAAACTCATATGGACATTAATCTTGTGCATTATGTGGTTTGTTTCCAAATAAAACAATTCTGAAATATAATTTAATAGGAATTAATTTAATTTATTATAGTAACAGTACTTGTAACAGTACATGACATTTTTGTTTGTTTAATCACAAGAACCATGGTGGCACATGAGCTGGTAAGTTTGCCATTGGTTTTTTAGAAAATGCTATCTCAGTCTTCTGGTTGGAATGAAAAGAAACATGCCTGTGTACATGTTTACCCTTGCCAGATGTATTTTTTCCAGTCAGCCAATCCATTACTTTTGTTCACCTTATGTGGTCTACTTTATACATACAGGTACTGCTTCCCACCTGTTTTTTCTTTGTATGCAATCACAGTATCACAACTTCCTCAGCTGGTGTGTATAAAAGTTCCCCTGTCATCATGAATAAAGAATCATAAAGGAAAGTCATATTTTCATTCAAAAACATATCTGTCTTTCCTTGAATACTCTTTGTCTAAGTGCAAGAAATGTCAGTGTCATAAAAAAAATAAAAAAAGATTTTCATAAGGACTTTTCTTAGATAGACCTAGATCTAAGTCAAACCATGTGACTAGTTAGGTAGAATTATACTTATAAGCCCTCATTTCTGAGGTGTCCATATTTTTAAATTTTTTAGGACTAAACGTGATCCGTGTAGATCTGCCTGTTTTGTTATGTAAAACAAATTCTTGTCTTAAAAAATGAGAAAAGGAATCATTCAGACGAAATTTTTTATCCCATTGATTCACGGAAATCAGTTGAAATGTACAGTGGTGACTTTTGTACCCAAAATTTCTAGTAATTTGTTACCCAAATGGGTATGTGATTTTGTAGATCTACCTAGAATTATTCCAAAGATATACATTAATTTGGTGTCTTAAACTTAACATAATATCACTTTCCTATCAAAACAATTCATTCTAACTTAGGTTTAACCAACTTAACTGGCCTCTCCTTCAGTGACAAGACGTCAATTTTCTCTCAACACTAAACAATCAATTTCAAGGATCACAGTCATGATCATATTTGGAACTTGATGAAATATTTTATCATGTGTTCTGTTCATCTACATGAAAACATAAATATAATTATAGATCTATTGTCTTATTTTCTAAGGTACAAATTCACAAAGTATTTTGGGTACAATTTAATTTGTTTTGGGTACAAAATCACATATATAGGAGCCTAGAATCTATATATATTTACACTAGCCTACCTCGTTGTGTACCAAAATTTTATCGGTTCAGAGGACGGGAGGTTCTCAGAACGTTTTCAACAACATCTTTAATATTTAAATTGTTCTTTTTATAATGTTAGACCAATAACAATATTATGTTATTATTATGGCATATCAATACGTTGTATCGCTCTCCGTTGCGTTCGTTTTTAGAAAATATTTTAAAAATTAAAATCATCGAGCGTAAAATCCATAAAGGTTTCGGATTTAGACTTACACATTTGATGGCGACAATCACGAAGAAATATGAAACAAATAGGAGTGAAGACTGCTCTCCAGATCAATAAATGGTAAATAGTTGACGAAAAATAGTAAATTATGTATTTTCTTTTGAATTTGAATCTATTTCGGAATTTCTTTATGATAGCTTACCAACTTTTGCATATTTTGCTTCCATGTGTCACATGCGGTACGTGTTTCCGGTTTCAGAAATGATAGCAAAAATTGCAAGTATTTTGATTATTTCTCGTAAAATGCATTATTTTGCTATTGAATGGTTTACCTAGAATGTATATCAGTTCAGATTTTGCGTATCATCCAATATTTGTCATTTTTCGCAGTGTTTGTTGACTTTGTTCAACTCAACAAATCGCGAGTTAGGCCACGCCCAAACGTATCTCTGACGTTTGTCGGCTTGTCAATGTGTCGGAAAGTTTATCAAACGAAATCATTTGCAAACTCTTTAAAAATGAAATTCTTTTTACAAAGATTTATACATACGTGTCAATAATTCTAGAAAATTAAGTTATATGTAACAAAATGATTGTAATAGTCTAACGGGATAACTATGCATGTGGAGTTGTTTGTTTACCGCCGTTGTCATGATCGTACAAGTTCCATCCAATCGATGATGTTACGATTCAGAGTGTTTTTGTTTACAATTAGTTACACCGAAAGTTGCTAATTTTTAGAAATAAAGGTACATGAGTGTTTTCCTTTCGTCAGCAAACAAAAAATTATGATCGAATAGGAAAAATGATGAAATTATAAAGAAAATATCGGACTGCATGCCGCTCAACGTGAAGTGCCAAAAGTCAACAATGGCCGTTTCTGGTAGTTGTGTGCCGAGAAGTTTGGCCGAAACATTTTTAACTCGCGATATTTTCTTTTTGAGGTAAAGAAATGACTGAACGTTTTGATATTGAGCAAGCTGAGCATTTATGCATGTCATACGTAATTTAAATGTTACGCAAAGCCTTCTTGGTAAATAGATATGGCGAGTTTTATTTTGGGGTGTTGTTATGCTATTCGCTTGTCGAATGGGTTCGACATCAGATGCACGGGGATGGACACCTCTGTCGAATGGGTTCGACGTTAGCGTGCAGAGCTTTGGGATTGGGATGGAAAGCATATGACCGTCAGTTTCGCCTACGTATGGAGAAGTTTCCGCTCACTAACTGGGGTGAAATAAACAGTGAGCTGGCTTATGTTCGTCATGCCGTCAACTATGCCAACACCAACACCAACATATTCAACAACAACCAGCTCTTCATTTGCAAGGCGACCCAATTACAACAGACCACCATGTTTCGACTACAATGATGGAAATTGTAAGAGAACCCAGTGCAAGTATATGCATTCATGTATCAATTGTGGAAAATCTCACCCTGCCAAGTTGTGCAAAATGCCTGCAGAACCTCATAGTCAGAACCAGGGGGACCGGCAGCAAAAAGCCTACAGGAGGTAATTTTGCCAGAATTAGGGCCAACTCCCATCAATTTGCAACCTCTCACTGAATTATTAGCAAGCTACCCAGATGTAAAAGCCCGAAAAGAACTTCTTGATGGATTCACCTTTGGTTTCACGCTACAGTATACAGGACCCAGACAGGTTGCCTATTGTCAAAATTTGCGCTCTTGTTATGACTATCCTGAGATCGTGCAAGATAAGCTACAGAAAGAAATCACATTGGGTCGGATAGCTGGGCCTTTTAATTTTCCACCTATATCAAACCTGAATATTTCCCCTTTCGGCTTAGTACCCAAAAAGGAATCAGCTGACTTCAGAATGATTCAAAATTTATCTCACCTTCAGGGTGCATCAGTTAATGATTTCATCAATGACAATTTGTCATCAGTTTCATACAGCTCATTTGACGATGCCGTCAACATGGTCCAAGTGTTAGGACCTGGAGCTCTCCTAGCTAAGGCAGACATTAGGAATGCATTCCGTCTCTGTCCAATTGCAAAAAGCGAATTTAATCTTTTAGGTATACATTTTGATGGAAAATTTTACATAGATATGTGTCTACCTATGGGTTGTAAGATCAGTTGAAAAATTTGAAAAATTTGCCACATTTCTGCGATGGGTGGTGGAACAAAGACTTCAATGTGGTAGCATGCTTCATTATCTAGATGATTTTTTGTTTGGGGGCCCAACAAATACAAATTACTGTAAAAAAGCTTTGGATGCATTCCTACACATTTGTAAAACCCTGGGAATACCAACGGCAGAAGAGAAGACGGTATGGCCTTGCACATGCTTAGCATTCCTTGGTATAGAAATTGACACAGTACTACAACAGGCCAGAATACCAAAGGACAAGATTGACCATTGTATATCAACAATTACTGAACTTTTGTCTCTCAGAAAAACAACAGTTAAAAAAATGCAGTCACTCATTGGCCTACTTAATTTTATTTGCAGAGCCATTCCAATTGGTCGTCCTTTTATTCGCAGACTCATAGATTCTATAAGTGGGCTATCAAGAGGTAATTACCGGTTACGCCTGACGAAAGGGATAAAGGAAGATTTGTGTACATGGTTATCATTCCTGTCTGACCATAATGGAGAGGCTATATTTCCAGAGCAATTTTGGATTGGCAACAATCAACTACGGTTGTTCACCGACAGTGCCGGCGAGAGGTTTTGGGGCTTACTTTGGAGGGAAGTGGACATATGGAATCTGGCCGGAGGAATGGATAAAATCAGGAATAACGAGGGACATTACATTTTTAGAGTATTTTCCTATACTGGTGTCAATTTGCATATGGGGAGCCTTATTAGCAAACAAAAAGGTTATTTTTAATTCTGACAACCAAGCAGTAGTTGCAATACTAAATAAGATGTCATCAAAATCTAAGAGAGTCATGGTCTTGGTCAGATGGTTAACCTTAAAGTGCTTACACCTCAATCTGATTATTGAAGCCACATTTATACCAGGTTGCAATAACAAGCTTGCCGACGCTCTATCTCGCATACATTTGCAGCATTTCAGGCGCATGGCACCGCATGCAGACCCACATCCTACAGAGATTCCAGCCACTTTATGGGAGACTTTGGACAAGAAGCTAAGAGACTGTTAGAATTGTCCTTGGCAACTAACACAATAAGAGCCTACCAAGTAGCTTTAAAGTCTTTTGAAAACTTCCGTCATTTGCATCTTCTACGAGACATCTGGCCAGTACCTTTTGGACACCTTGTACAGTATATTGGTTATCTGTCTTAAATAAGAGATCACCAGCAACAGCTTTGCAACACATAGCAGCAATCAGTAGGCAGCATAAACTGAATGCAATGTTGGATACAACAGACAACTTCATTATCAAGAAAATACTTACCGGAATGAAGAATTCTAATCCACGGCAGGACATACGTCACCCAATAACACTTCCTGTCCTGAGAAATCTTTTTAGAGCATTGGACTATGTGTGTTCATCTGTATATGAAAGCAAGCTTTTCAAGAGCATGTTCACTATGGCGTTTCACGCTTTTCTCCGGGTCAGCGAATTAGTTTGCACCGAGGTTGATCCAGGTAAATCTAAGGGATTATTACTATCTGACATACGACTCACCAAGGATCAGCTTGGAGCCAAGTGCTGTTTGAGGATACCTTCACATCCTGACAAGTTTGATTGTCCAGCAGTGACACTCCATCAGTATTTGATAGCAAGGCCTTCAACTTCCCCTGACTCCAGTCTGTTTATCCATATAGATAGCAAACCAGTTTCAAAGTTCCAGTTTAAGGCAGTACTTAAAAGAGCACTGTCATTCATAAACCTATCTTGCTCATCCTACAAATCTCATTCATTTAGAATAGGAGCGGCTACATCTGCAGCAGTGAATGGTATCCCCTACCAAATCATACAAGAATGGGGTAGGTGGAAGTCAATGGCATACAGAACTTACATAAGAATAGGCTTAATAAACTAATAGTCAATAGTATCTTTCATACGCATGCTTCCTCTAACCTCATCTAAGTTATTTCAGAGGTATGGATTATTGGATCCTCTTACGTCTACTGGTCACACCGACGGGCACTCAAACTACACCTTGGAAAGAACCTGCGGTTAGATTCTGCTAATATCACATGGTTTGGCATCAGAGGTATGCATTGGTCAGGCTTGCTTCCATTGCTTAGGAAAAAATTGCAATACCTCCAATCACCAGATACATTGGTAATACATCTGGGATCCAATGATTTAGTCACTATGAGAAGCATTGATCTTGGTAGAGACATAGAGCAGGACATGCACACAATCACAGACTTGTTACCAAATGTGCAGTTAATTTGGTCAGAGATGTTTCCTCGGAGAGCATGGAGAGGTGCAGAATCACTTGCGGCAATCGAGAGGAAGAGGAAGCGGGTAAACAGGAAAGCAATTGAGCCAGTAACAAAGCTTAAGGGGCTTTTCGTCAGACATGATATTGTGGCTAGAGATTCTGGTTTGTATAGGGAGGATGACATTCATCTGTCAGAGATTGGCAATTCTATTTTCGTTCATGAATTACAAGAAGCACTTTTTCAGGCTATTCCTTCTGCTGCACTTTAACCCGTGCAACTTGGTGGCGATGACCGTGTAGGTACACGATCTGTGGCGGCGGAGGGAGGGACTTTAGGTTAGTTAGATTACAAATAAGGCCCAGTATGGTTACCCTCTTGGGCATGTATTATTCAGTCTGGGGAGTTCATTGCTATGGTTACCCTTGCAGTTTGAACCCCTGGTTTAATGTGCTAGTTAGGGTTGGGGCTTATTGATGGTTACTCTGATAAGACCAATCCCTACGTTATGTAATGGGCACCCAGGTTGATGGTTTAAAAGGTAGCTACTTATGCATGGTTACCCTCTTAAGTTAGCTTTCTTCAGTCTGATGTGCCCATCACCATGGTGCTCAGGCAGTTAGGGACCCCTCCCTCCTTGGGTGTCGCCACCAACTCGCATTTAATAAACTGTGCCATTTTCACCCACAGCCATATTTCTTTGTTGTATGTTACCAATTTGCAAGCTGAAGGTATAATTAATTTTATTATACATGTATAAAATAAAATTCATTTATAGCTTTGCAGCAAACATAGCTATTTTCTGTTCCATCATTCAGTATCAAGTCTGCGGAGGTAATTATGTAAGTTGTGCAATCGCAATTCTGCGAGCATGCCAGTTTTCATAGTTTCGGCCTTTCCGAACCAACAGCCGATCAAGCAACACGTTTCAAATTCCCACCCAGCCCTCCCTTTGGCTCATTTACTATTATGATGTAATATTTTAATACATACTTTCTTCATTTATTATTAATGTTAGACATGTTAATGTGATGTTTTCATTATTGCACATGCTATTTCTAGTATCAATTATACTTGTTCGCCGCTTTTTGCTTTTATGTTGCAGTGCTCCACAGCTGACCATCTTTTGACATCTCAGTTGGCACAAATGAACTGTACTACTTGGTGTGTTCTAGACAGATTGTGTGAAATCATGTGTATATTCATTCGGTGTCAACTAGGCAACTACACCGCACCAGTGACGCCATTCAAAGCATTCCGTATTTTCTTGAGTAAACTGCGCATTTATTTAAAAAAAACTCACAGCTGTGTAGAAGGGGGGGCGCATTATACAAGAAGTAATGAGACATTACCGTGAGCACGTAACACCGGAAATACCATGTCAACAAATCCATACTGAAGTACGCAAATTAATCATGTAATTACACTGTCTGACTATAAAAAGTGTTCTTTGTATATCTGGACTTATGTTTGTAACTTATTTCATTAATTTTATTCAAAATTACTTTTAATATTGTTTCAATTAATTTCGGGGAAATCGTGAAGATCGCACAACTAACGGTTATTAACAGAAACCACGGTCAGATTACCGCTATTGACGCCTTGAAACGAACTTTAGTTGACAGAGAATGGATACATATGTCATAAATGCCATACTTTGACTCGTTAAAAGTCATATTTGTTTTTGTTGGACTATTCTATGTCAACACGTAATTCTCGCGATCACGCGATCACGTGCGCGTGAGCCTTGACGCCGACTGGTCAGATTGTGTGTTCCATGTAAAACGATGTAATACCCGTAATAGCAATCAGCTGCTTCGCTTAGGGTTATTATTATTTCAAATTTGTTTAGTAAAAGCTGCATCTAAATTAACAAGATATTGGAATATAATACTTTTTTTCTGCGCTTGGTAGATCTATTCGAATTTTTTTCAGGGGTGGAAATTTTAAAAAAAAACTTCACTTGCCATCGGACAAGTTTAAAGACAATTTTCACTTGCCCTGATTTTATTTTCACTTGCCCAAATAATTTCAAAATAAAACTTCAAATCATCAATAGATCTATGTATCTCTTTCAACACCGTAAGCCGGTTTTCCGGCCAAGCCGTAGTCACGTCAAAATAGTATATATTTTTATGGACCTACCTGTAATATCATTCATTTATTAAATCTATCACATTTCACAATGTCTGAAATACGTATTCCACATCAATTTATCATTTTTTATCGATAAATTAAAAAATTATTCACTATTTACCGGGATGTTATTGAAAATATAATTCTCGGACACACATTTCGACAACGGGTCCACATCGAACATGTCAAAGAGCAAAATAAAGACGTTTTAAACAAATCTTTAAATACATTATACAAAGTAATAAATAAAATCAACAAAAATATATCTAAAAGTAATCAAACTTACATCTAAGTTATTATTTCCATCTTTTCGTGCGATCGCGTGTAATGTAAGTCAAATGACATCTCGGCTTTCGTCGCCTTAATTTGGCTCAAATTCTCGGCTCGGACACGATGTTTAATGCAAAAATATTTGCATGAAAAATCTATGTCACAGCTCGTAACCTAGCACGATACATTCACGAAGTTCCATATTTTTAATATGTATCGTGATTTCCTGCCTTTTAGTTCAGAATAACACGGTTTAACAATAATCTTTCGCCAACTTCTGAAATTTATCCAACACGCTTGGTATCACCGCTGTAATTTGATTGGCTGCCTGAGGTCATGTGCTCAAAATTGACCAATCACGAAACTTGTAGCAGATTTCGGCAAGAAAGCGTCATTAGGAACCAACTTTAATCTAATGAAATCGCTTGTTATAACAACGGAAAAAAAACAGGCGATGTTACAAAAGCGCGATTACGAAATTTCTCTCAACCAATTTATTGTACCATTTTAAAAGTAGTTAGACATGTAGACAGTGATAGTAATTTCCAATATTACTTGCCTCCGGTGATTTTGTTGCCCGACCTCGTATTTCTACTTGCCCCGGGAGTCGGGAAATGGCAAATTTCCACCCGTTTTTCCCCCAAAAATACTGAATCCGCTAGAGAGGGGTGCGCACTGTACTAAAGAAAATACGGTATTCATCATTTGCCGATTGACAACGATTTGTTGTTGTTTTGACTTGCGCAAATATGGAAAAATACTTCGTGTTTTTGAACGGCGAAACGACCGCCACAGCTGTCACCTGGGCGGATGTCGTACAGCGCATGCGTGGGTACTAAACTCTTAACATCGTTAGTGCATTACTTAATAACGGAAAGTGCTTCCTTCATTCCAGGTATGGAGCTTCATATCGAAAGCGAAAACAGAACACATGGCCCAGCAGTGATCTAATCGATGTTATTATGTTCTGATATCGATTTTTTTCACTGAAGTTACCGCACTTATATTAAAAACGATCTTTTTAAATATCTTATGACGAGAGATATTTAGTCGCCAAACTTAATTAAAGACAAGGAACCAGTTGGCGACTGACATGAAAATACCAGTCGCAAAATACAAAACTAGATCGCCATGGCGACCAATTTAGTCGCAACTTTGTGGCCTGGAATGGCATTCTACCCACATATACAAGTTAGTAGTAACCTCAAATACCTCCTTAACTTAACCCTATCACATATACATGATGCAGGTAATGCAAGCTCAGAAGTTTGGTGTGCAAATTTATAATAAATGTATAAATATAAATGTATAACTAACAGATATAAGCGGTAAGACGGATATGACTCCTCATGCATGCAAGCATGCACCGGTAAACCAGACCTAACAGAAAGGAGTATATAGTTACTCCATAGTGTTTTAGGAACCAGGCAGCTTCAATTTGAAATAAAGGAAAGATATATTGAAGCAAGTCGAAATAATATATTTATATATCTAGCCTAAAATCACGATGATCCATGGACAGTGCATTGTGTATGTCTATGTTGGGCATTGCTTAAAATATACCCACCGCTTCGCTTGTCATGTTAGGCGACACTCGATGGTTGGTTGGTTGGTTGTTTAACGCCGCACTGAGCAATATTCCAGCTATATGACGGCGGTCTGTAAATAATCGAGTCTGGACCAGACAACACGGACAATCCAGTGATAGACATCATGAGCATCGATCCATGCATTTGGGATACGATGACATTCATCAACCAAGTCAGTGAGCCAGACCATCCGATCCCGTTAGTTGCCTTTTACAAGAAGCACAGTCGCCTTTTAGGGCAAGCATGGATTGATGAAAAGACCTATTCTACCCCGGGTCTTCACGGGCACCACAATCGATGGACCGGGTGGGCATGCTTGTATAGTGACTTCGTTAATTGTGTGTCATGTACCCCGATATAAATACATGTAAATAAACGATTGGTTTAAGTATGAACAACGTCCCACGCCGACATGTACGATGTCTCGCAATCAACCAAATAACGAACCTGACTACCCGAGGCTCGTTAGTCGCCTCTCATTATACGATTCTAAGCCGGACTCCCCATCCGATCATGGGAATATTACCTGCATGGTCAGCTTTGCTGTTACTGGTTCTTGCAGTAAGATATTGGTCCACATGGGCAGAGAGCAAAATAGTGATTGATATTATAAGCAAACATCCAGCACGTCGGAGGACGTTGAACCTCCGATCCATGAAGTCACCTAGTAAGACAATTAAAATTAAGCATGTGTTGCTGGGGACCCCTTCTACACGAAATCAACTGCCTGAGTGGTCTAGTGGATAGATGTCTGCAGAAGGAGTGAGTAAGTGGGTGAATATGTATTTACACTGCTTTTAGCAGCATTCCTCGAGTATCATGGCACGGGACACCAGAAATAGGGTTTACTCATTGAACACATGATGGGAATCGAACCCGGGCCTTCGACGTGACGAGCGAACGCTTTGACCAATAGGCTAACCAATCGCACCCCTGACAGCGGAAGGTAAAATACACGGAATAAGATAGTACCCGTGCTTGGCGATTGGCATTACATGGATAAACGTGGATAAACACAGTACATATTCTGTTTTACAAAACTCATGTAAGAATCCATGTATTACCTTCACCCTCACTGGGTAAATACAAGAATTTCTGAATTCTGACACTCCTTGTGTAACACACTTACTGGTATAATATTCCCAATAAAAGTACCAATCATGACCTCCCTCAATATTTGCTAAGTTTGTGGTCCGAATCACTTTCAAAAGCTAAAATTAATTATAAATATTCAACAGTTAATAAATTTTAAAGGTGTTATGCCGCTTCTGCACGGCTTAATTACAGTAATACAAGTGTAAATATCTAATCGATAATTAATAAAAATCAGCTACAAGTATTCCATTATTTGTACATGTGAAAGGGCTATCCCATTTCTGGTCAAAGGGACATGAGTGATAATATAGTAAAAGGTCTCTTTTAAATAGCAGTATTGACCCATTACATTAAGATTCTGCTCATAAGTGCGAAATATTATTAACTATCATCAACCGACAAGAAAACTTAAGATTCCATTAATTGTAGATTTTAAAGGCATTATCCCACTTCTGTCAAGGTGATACAAGTCATAATATAGAAAAAAATCTCTTAAAATTAAAAATATTGACCCATTACATTCAGATTCTGTCCACAAGTGAGAAATATTATTTACTATCATCAACCGAGAAGAAATCTTAAGATTCCATTAATTGTATATTTTAAATGCATTATCCCACTTCTGGTCAAGGTGATATGAGTCATAATATAGTCAAAAATCTCTAAAAATTAGTATTATTGACCCATTACATAAAGATTTTGCTCACAAGTGTGAAATGTTATTTACTATCATCAACCGACAAGAAATCTTAAGATTCCATTAAATGTAGATTTTAAAGGCATTATCCCACTTCTGGTCAAGGTGATATGAGTCATAATATAGTCAAAAATCTCTTAAAATTAGAAATACTGACCCATTACATTTAGACCTTTGTTCATAGGTTTGAAATATTATTTACTATCATCAACCGACAAGAAATCTTAAGATTCCATTAATTGTAGATTTTAAAGGCATTATCCCACTTCTGGTCAAGGTGATATGAGTATTAATATAGTAGAAAATCTCTTAAAGTTAGAAATATTGGCCTTTTACATTAAGATTCTGCTCACAAGTGTGAAATGTTATTTACTATCATCAAACGACAAGAAATCTTAAGATTCCATTAATTGTATATTTAAAAGGCATTATCGCACTTCTGGTCAAGGTGATACAAGTCAAAATATAGTCAAAAATCTCTTAAAGTTAGAAATATTGACCCCTTACATTAAGATTTTGCTCACAAGTGTGAAATGTTATTTACTATCATCAACCGACAAGAAATTTTAAGATTCCATTAAATGTAGATTTTAAAGGCATTATCCCACTTCTGGTCAAGGTGATAT